CTAACGAAGTAGGGGAAATGGAAGACAGCGCCCTCTTTCACCGCCTACCCGACCGCCGAACTGACGAGTTAAACCGCGAAAAACAATTCTGTTTTATTCATTTAACAATGCAAGAGTTTTTCGCTGCCAGGCACCTGACGAATATGAGTGAAACAGAATTGAGGAACTTTGTTTCTAAGAACATCAATAATGGGAAATGGCAGCTGGTTTTCCAGTTTCTAGCAGGACTAATGAACGATAAAGAAAAACTACCGAGCGAAATTATCACAGACCTTCTTCCTGAGGAAACTGAAGAGGAAGAAAGCGGATTCTACCACGAAGAGCTCCTAGGGAAAATAGAGCGAAGGAAAGTCATTAATTGGCCGACTGAAGATAAAAAACATTTAGCAGTGACATTATTTAAATGTTGTTGTGAAAATAATGAGATGAAGGAAACAGTTCAAAGAAAACTTCAACAAATTAACTTTAATTTTGTTAATTTTATTGATTGTCAACTCACAGCTGTTGATTGTGCTTCATTAGTTACTGTAATTGAGAATCAAGGTAAAAACATTTCACATTTACAATTGGGTGGCAATAACATTGGCCATTTGGGCTGTTTAGAGATTTGTAAATTGTTAAAATGTAGGAATTCCCAACTGAGCTGGTTACGCCTCGCAGGAAATCAATTGACAGATGAAGAAGCAAAGTATTTAGCTGACGCCATCAGAGACAACAACTGTCAGCTACGCGAGCTAAACCTCAACATCAATAACATCAGAGACAAAGGAGCACAGCACTTGGCTGAAGCCATCAACAACGAAAACTGTCAGCTACGCACGTTATACCTCTTCGGCAATAACATCACAGCAGCAGGTAAACAACACGCAAAGAATTTACTTAAAAAGAGTCAGTCTGACCATATCCTTCATATATAGCATCGCTAATTTCACAAATAATTGATAAAACTAAAAAGAAATTATACTTACAAATTACAATTTAAAAATGTGAGGTAACGAGCTCAGTGAAATTGCAACCCAACAACTTAATACGTGAATGAAAGAATAATTATCTTTGTGAAGAATCCATAGCAGCGAGATTATTTGAATCGGATCGAAATGAAAAAAAATGAACCAATGAAGATGTTTATTGACAGCAAAGGTATGGGGTGCCATTACCGCCAAAATTATATTTTTAAAATTATTCAGCCTCTTTTTCATTAACCACTTACTTATACGAATTAACCATACTTGTCACGATATTATTTAGCCCATTTCAAAAATTATTCAGCCCTATTTTCATTAACCACCTACTTTTACTAATTAACCACGCTTGACACAATATTATTCAGCCCATTTTGAAAATTATTCAGCCTTTTTTTCATGGGGCTTGTTTTTAATTATATCCCAACATAACTTGAAGGATTATAAATATATCCCAGAGTTCTTTTCACATCCTTTTCGTTGCAATATGGCCGGCAGTACAGGGATCGCGGATGTTGCACGTTTGTTCTCCCAAGCTGCTACCAATTTAATAAGTCTAGCATCACCAGAGTTTCGAGCAACTAACACTACTTCTGATCTACCTCATGTTGATTGTTAGTTCTTTGGTTTCTTTCTCTCTTTTGCGGCCCTTGTGACGGTGAAATGTTTTGCTTGACTTGATGTTCCACGTGAAGTTGTGTTGCTTACAACTGGTGATGGCGCGTTGTGAACTTTTTGGTACGGAGAAAACGCTCGTTTCAACTCAGCTTGAGCTCGATCAGAAGTATTATTAGTTTCTCGAAGCTCTTGTGATGATTGTGGTGCTAGACTTATGAAATTGGTAGCAGCTTGGGAGAGAAAACGTGCAACATCCGCGATCCCTCTACTGTCGGCCATATTGCAACGAAAAGGACATGAAA